TGCTCCGAGAGCGGGCAGTGAGACCAGGGGTTCACGAGAAGACCTCGGGATCGAGCTTCCCAGTTGCATCTTTGCCAGGCCCGGGAGGGTGTGTCGGCATCAACCCCGAGCACTGGAGACGCACACTTGTACAGAGTACGGGACTATTACCTAGCATGAGGCCATAGACCCATTGCGTAGTATCGGGAGAGGACCTTGCCTTAGCGCAGAGGGTGAATGAATGTATACTCACACGCGCAGTAGCTTGAACCCTGGCATCATGCAGGATGAGATACTTTGCCTCCATTCCAAGACGCACTTGGTGATGGATCTAATCTGACAAGATGTGGGAAGAATCCGTACGAGTACGTACCTCCGTGTAGGAGCTATCCATCCTTACGGATACCTTACTTGAATACCTTATACATACCTTGCCATCTGTAAAATACCTGACGTATCCCCGAGGTGGTCGCGGGTCAATAAGCCATCTAAAGCAAAGAAAGGTAGGCACTGCCTTAGGCTAGAGGGTTCTCTATTTGCCTCATTCAGGGCCACCCAGATGCAGTGCATGCAGTTGCGAACAGGCACAGACGTGACTGCTCTAATGCCTCACGATGAAAGCGGGCCGGAGACCGGAGTTGCGGCGGCGACGGGCAGGGCGGCCAGATTTGAATGCCGCAACGTGGGTAATGTGCGCATGGGGAACCACTGGAGGTTACTCGCAACAGTCCCATGGCAATGCAGCGAGCGGTTGGGCAGGGTGTTAAAGTTGTGGCTCGACATGAAGACTGGAGGGAGCAGAGATGAAGATCAAAAATACAAAAAAAAATTAAAAAAATTCAATGGCTGAGGAGTAAGGTAGCCAACCGAGGATAAGGTAGATGGCTCGTCGGAGCTTGCGGCAGTGGAGTTTTTAGCCTGGGGCCAGTGGGTGTCGTTGTGCGGTTTGCGGGAATTTTGGGCGCCGTTGGCATCATTTTGCCCGAGTTATCTGATGATCTGATTATCTAAATCTGATAAGATCCGGGTCTAATTAGGTAAGGCGTACGTACCTGCTGTATTGGGCCAGTGACGATGCCACGATGGCCCCCGTCCAACCCTCGATGAAGCCCTGGTCTGACGAGTCTTTTTCCCTGTCAAGGCCACCCAAGAATCCGTGGAATCCATGGCCTCTCTAGCGCCAAACCCACCACGCATCCACCGGCGATCATCCACAGCCCTTCTGCGCCTGTGAGTGGTAAAACAGGTAGGTACGGTATGCCTCCACCTACCCAGATGGTGACAGCGACAAGAAACGACGCAGGCTTGGCAGGCGTGGTAGGCGTGGTAGGGGAAAGCGGACAGGCAGACAGGCAGGCAGGGGGCAAGGTACCTGAAGAAAAATTCGACATGCGGTATCCGTACAGTTGACTGCAAATGGGAAAGTCCCGCCGGGCCAAACGAGGACCCGAAGACAAGCAGGAGCAGCCGCCGACCCCAGGAGAGATGGAAGGCAGGCCGCAGGGCAGGTCGCTCCCATCGCCCGAAGCAGGAAGTGGAAGAGGCAAGACGGGGAAGGTGGGAAAATCTCTTCACATGGATTCCCACTCGCACACTCCTCGCCTCCAGCCAGACAGACATCTCGCACGCACACCTGGCCTCACACCTACCTTACTCGTTGATATTCCTCGCTTTCCCTCATCGCTGGCCGCCTCTTGCTCCCGTACGTCGTTCAATCGGACTCAATATACCAAGGTTCCAATCCCAAGTCCACAAAACCACAACCGACTGCTATCCCTGAACCACCAAGTGTGGCCCAAGCCCGCCGTCGCTCTCGTACCTTGGTCCCATTGCAAGACTGAGAATACCACACGGTCCATACCCAAGTAGGTAGTCAACCTGCCTTCCTTTCGCCGTGTCCTACTGCATCCATCCACCCACCCACGCACCCACCCATATTTTTCTCTTCCAGTCCATGGACCCGTTCGATCCATCCACCGAGACGCCCTGGCGACATCCACCGACATCATTCAGCCGTCCGTCCCACCCCATTCCATCTCTAGCCGTCCCCATAGCTCGCCGAGTAGCCATGTTTCCGAGGGAGGGGGTACGACGGGAACTGGGCATTGGGGCATCGCCTTCGGGACTGGAACTTGTCAACTTGATCCCAAACGCCGCCTCCCTGGACACTCCCAAGACTAGCATACTCACCACCGCAAGTCACTGACCACATTCTCTAGAATGACTCACCCTGTCCCGAGCATTGATGTACGCGTACTCACTCCCAGGCCAGCAATAGCCTCCCCCAACCCTCTCGCCGGCCGTACGTAGTAGGTGGCATATGTCATTCTAGGCCAGTCTTCAAAGATGCTGGCCTCGCTCTTCCAATACTGAATTACGTACTGCCTTCGACTCGGTTTACCCCCACATCTGGGCCACACTTCGCGGCTTTGGCTTTCACAACGATACATCGCCCCTCCACATCGACGGGCCGGAGAAGTGACACGACTGCAGACCTGTGACAGCACCCCACGGCCAAATGGCAACTCTCTCGCCATTGGCCTCCTTCCCTGCGTCCCATGCGCCCAACTTTGTCAGCGATCGTTTTCCAAACCTATCCATCGTATCCAGATACCAATGCACAAATATACTAAGCGAGCGAAGTTAATCCTGCTGCTATCCGGCTCGCCCACCGGCGCACACGAAGCCTGGCAGTTATACGCTTCCTGATCACAGTACATATTAATCCAGCGGCTCATGCTTACAAGTGGATACCACACCAGACGAGATGACCCAGATAAAATCACCATGTACCGTACCATGGGCGAAATCTGACCAGCCGATAGATGCGTTTTTCCCACCACCATCTTGCCGTCTTGACCAGTAACATGGTGGTTGAGAGGTTCCCCAAAAGAGCCCCGCATCGTGGTCTTCCGTACCGCCCTCTTTATGACATCCAGAGGCCAAGGCTCGGACAGTTTGCCGCTTCCAGAAATCATTATCCGGCAGTCGGACGAGATCGGTCAGCCGCCGCGAACATGGCCGAGTTTCAACGCGGATCATGGCGTGGCGTCCTTGGGGAAATGGCCTGTTCTGGATGCGCCGTCAGATCTCGCGCCGTGCTTCTGCAGAAATCCCAGCACATGTTCAATCCGAACCTTCTGTGCCTGCGTCCGACGTTGGGGGTTCTGTAGGACGTTGTCGGCTGCGGAGCATGAGACATGAACAGACCCGACAGAAGCTTTGAGGATTCGACATCTCTTATCGGAGACGGCCGCCGGCCGGACGAGCTCGAAACCCGTTTTTTTCTTCTTTTTCTTTCTTCAATCCAGCGCCTCGGGCGCGGCGACGTCGCTCCCGCCTGCTACAAATGCGGACGGGGATTCATGTCCAATAATGAGCTCCACGGCGCACAACAGCTGTCAAGAGCTTTGCCGAGCCACAAGATCGGATAGGGCTGCCGGCCATCGGCATGCCGTGCAGGCTCGCCACTACAGCGGTAGTCGTGTCTGCAGACTTCCGGTCTTACGTTACACATCCGAGTAAACGCCGTCTACGCCGAGGTGACTAGAAGGCACTGAACGGGCCGTCGAAGCTTATTTCGCTGCGCAGAGCGGCGTTTATCCCTCGGGCGACGCGGCGAGTTATTTTGGTCATGACGCCATAAGCGCTCGAATTGACCCCCCTCTCCCCCAGCATCTGGGCCCTCCCCTTGAGTGATTTGGAGAAGCGTTGCTTGACCTGCCCTAAAACCGGCGTGGGATGGAACTCCTACAAGTCATAGCGAACCAAGCCAACAAGCTTATTGACAAGGAATTCATGTGTAAGTCGCCTAAAATGACCAACACACCTGACGTCGCCCCCCGTAAGCCACATCAGGATCCGCTCGGGGTGGGCGGGGGAGTCTCTTGGTCGCTTCCTATATGTGCTGCAAGCGCGGTAGCTTGTCTAGTCTGCGCTTCTGATAATAAAGCTCACCAGCCAGCGGGCAAACACACACACACACACACACACACACACACACACACACACACACACACATATCCCTCCTCGCAAAGACAAGCCGTGGTAGATCACCAACAATCCATATCTTTATTCTGCAGCGCACCTCAGCCCCCCAAAATCGCCTTGTCAGCCCACAGTCGCATCGGGTTGTCACACGCCCGACATACGCACAGGTCACAGATAGCCCTACGCACAGGGCCGAGCCTTCTTGAGCTAGCCAGCTCGCGCCAACACGCCGTCATCATCCGCGAATGAACGATCTCATATTTCATCATCGACACACGAAGCTCCGGCGACCTTTCTGCATGGTGCTGCAGAATCGCTTGACTTTTCCCACCAGCTGAGTAATTGCTGCAATCTTACAGGCCCGGCGGTCTGCAGCCGACCCCGTGTCGACCCCTCGCATTACCCCCATGGCTTGTCGCCCTGCGCCCAACTAAGGAACCACGCCGTTGCATGACCGGATCTGTGAATCATCACTTGTCTTATTGGACGGAGAGCTGTCCCAGCGTGTGGTCTCTTGGACCTCTAGCTGCAGGTCCATCTTGATCTGGACTCGGGCGCATTGACCTTTGTGCCCTTCCCGTTGAAAAGAGGGCCCCGACTAATACCTGAGTACCATTTGTAAAGCTACGATCAACTGAGCTTGTGCATTGGACCACTTTCTACAAGTCTCTAGGATAGCTACTAAGACTTTCTCATCAGCTTGGGAATAGCATCTTTTTTTGTTCAACGACGAGGCCAACATGACCGACACTGAGTCAGAGCCCGGGCTCTCCATCTTGAATCCTCACCCAACTCGTGTCCCGGGACCTCGTCTCCTTCACCAGCTTGTGCAGCTTACATCAGATGAATCGCTACCTGCGATTCACTCACTGGATAGTCATGGAAGGGAATCAACTCTGTCGTATTCTCAGTTCCATGACGCCGCGGATGCCCTGGCAGACCGGATCTCTCGACTAGCTCGGATATCACATTTGTCGGATGATTTCGTTGTACCGCTACTCGTCCCTCAATGCTCGCATCTTTATATTGCGATGTTGGCCATTCTCAAAGCCGGCGGAGCCTTTTGTCCTCTGCATCTAGACGCACCTCCTGAGAGGGTCCGGTTCATTCTCCAGGACGTATCGGCAAAAGTTGTTCTTGTCACTAGGGACTTGGTATCAAAGATTCCCCAAGACGACGCAGGAAGGGTTGTCATAGTAGTGGACGAGGAGGCCACTGATAATTCGACTTCATTACCGAGTCTCACGGCGCGGCCAATCGAGCCTCAACATCTTTCCTATGTCATGTACACATCTGGGTCAACCGGCACGCCGAAAGGTGTTGGAGTCTCGCACGATGCTGCAACTCAGAGCCTCCTTGCTCACAATCGGCATATTCCAAGTTTCAGGCGCTTCCTCCAATTTGCCTCGCCGACATTCGATGTATCAGTATTTGAGATATTCTTCCCCCTTCTTCGTGGATCAACATTAGTTACGTGCGATCGTGGCCACATGCTAAACGATCTGCCTGCCATCATCAGGACTTTGCAGGTCGATGCATGCGAGTTAACGCCTACTGTCGCTGGCAGTCTTCTCCGCTCCCGGCAGAACGCTCCTTGTTTGAAACTTCTCCTCACGATTGGTGAGATGTTGACAGAGTCTGTTGTCCGTGAATTTGGCGGCAGCGAGGTATCAGATAGCATGTTATGGGGCATGTATGGCCCGACCGAGGCTGCAATCCACTGGTGAGTCTCTGCATGTCTCCGTCAGCATCATGTGAACTAACGGTCTACAGCACACTCAAACCAAGATACCCTACGGATTGTCCCTCTTCGAATATTGGTTTCCCTCTAGACTCTGTCTCGTGCTTCATCGTTGCCATCCCCGATGATGGGAGCCCATACAACTTCAATGTACTCCCAGTAGGCGAACCCGGCGAGCTTGTTGTCGGAGGGTACCAACTCGCCAATGGTTACCTCAACAGACCAGAACAAACGAATGCAGTATTTCTCGATTCCCCTTACGGCCGCGTCTATCGCACTGGAGACATGGCCATCATGAACTCTGATGGTACGATGGAATGCCTTGGGAGGATATCCGACGGGCAGGTCAAGCTACGCGGACAAAGAATCGAACTCGGCGAAGTGGAGCAAGCGGCAATGCGATCTGCCGGGTGCCACAGTGCTGTTGCTATGGTTCATGGGGGAATTCTCGTTGCATTCTGCGCCATTGACAACGAATCGGCTCCAGGAGATCATGTGGAAGACATTCTCAACACTTGTCGTACGTGGCTCCCGTCTTTCATGGTTCCTGGTGATATCGTCATCATGAGAAGTTTCCCACGTTTGCCCTCGGGAAAGGTGGACCGGAAACGGCTCACGAACGAATACACGACGACAACAGCATCACAGCCCGCAGTTCAGTTTGAAGCGGCTAGTCCACTGGAACGAGAGGTGTTATCAATTGTATCAAGCTTTCTCGAATTTCACATTTCTTCATCGGCTTCGCTTGCATCCGCAGGCATTGATTCTCTCAAGGCTATTAGACTTGCTTCGGTATTACGAGAAGCCGGGTTCCAGGTATCGGCAACGGATATTCTCAATTCCAAGACTCTGTCGGCCCTGATCGCCTCACTTCGAGAGACGACCTCCTCAGTCTCAGCAATTGATCAAGCAGACCATGCGGTTGATCTTCAAGACCCTTGTGAGATACATCTTCGCCAAGTGCTCGAGCAGCGGGCAGACCTTGCTTCATTGAAAGACAAGATTGCATGCCTTCACATGTGTACACCACTGCAAAATTCAATGCTTGCCGAAACGTCGAGCAATCCCCAAGCATATTGCAACTGGATCAAGCTTGAGTTTCCTGCAAAGACTACGGCGCAGGAAGTGTTGCAGTGGACGCACCAGATTGTGCAGAACAATGAGATATTACGGTCAGGTTTTGTGTCATCTGATCGCGGGTTTGCACAAATTATCCATAGTCAGCTCTCCGAGTCTTCCGTTCAAATTGTATCTCATTTCGACGAGAGTTTTTGTCTGGCTTCCGATGAGAGCTACCTGCGTCCTTTCAGAGTCCAAATTCGAGAACGTCAGCAAGGAATTGGGCCAATTGGACTCTTCCAGATACATCACGCCCTCTACGACGGATGGTCGGCCGACATGTTGATCGAAGACTTTTCCACTCTAGCCGCCAGTGGAGTCCCAAAGACTAGACCAAAATTCTATGATGTCTCTAGATTCTACGCGGAGCCAGCTACCAGAGGTCTGATGGATGAGGCGCGTGTATTCTGGGCGGACCATTTGCTTGGCTGGCAACGACACAACCTACCGCGCCTCATGGGGCGCCCTCCCGATACCGTCGAGATTCGTACTACAAGCAGGGCACTGGAAATCCCACAGAACGTCCTGAATCAGGCCGCTTCGCGGTTCCGGTGCCACCCTCAAGTTTTCTTCCAAGCTGCTTCGCTGTGGCTCTGGGGCGGACTACAAGGACAGACCGACGTCGTTATCGGCTCAGTGTCGTCAGGCAGGACCATTCCGGTGACGAATGTTGAGCACATCATAGGGCCCTGCATCATGACAACGCCTTTGAGAGTAAATCTTGCTGGGATCGCAACCATTTCAGACCTCGTTCGCGACATCCAGGCCACAAATCGCGACGCTCTACAACACGGTATCTTGCCATTGGCAGACATCAAGAGAATCGCAGGCGTGAAACCCGGAGATGCGCTTTTTGACCTGCTGTTTGTTTATCAAGAATCTCTGTACAGTCAGCAAACAAAACAGGGGATTGTGCGGGAAATATCTCATCAGGACTTCCTGGAGACCAGCCTTCTTCTCGAAATCGAACCTTCTGCCGAGGGCCCAGTCTGTCGTCTGACCTACCACACGAATGCATTTTCAACAGAGCATGCCGAGATGATGACTGAGCAGTTGGAATCGGTGGTTGCACACCTTGCGCTTCAGCCGGAAAGCCAAGTGGAAACCATTGGGAAATCACTTCCTCCAGAACTCACTTCCATTTTCAGTGCCCATCCTTCAACTCTCTCAACGATCCCGGATCTGGCGGCAATTTTCGAGCACTCGGCAAGTGCCACACCAGATGCTACAGCTATACGATTCGCAAGATCTCTTGAGGTTGGAGAGGTCGACACAATCTCGTACAGCAGCCTGAATTCCTTGGCCAACAACATCGCGAGGCATCTTCGGGAGCGAGGCACGAAGGAGGGTGGCATCGTGGGTGTAATTATGGAAAAGTCGATCCATCTGTATGCCGCTATGCTGGGCATCCTCAAGGCTGGCTGCGCATATTTGCCCCTCTTACCCACCACCCCAGTTGAGAGAATCCGATTCATTTTGACACATGCTGAGGTCAGCATCTGTATAGCCGATCCAGCCGTCTCATCAAGTCTGCATCACCTCTTCAGTTGTCAATTCGTGGACACCCAGTCAATCGCCACGTCCAACGTCCCGGAAAATAATTTCTGTCTGTCTCCAGCCCCTTCTCGGCCAGCGTATGTCATCTATACCTCTGGAACCACAGGCACACCCAAGGGTGTGGTGGTCACTCAGAAGAACATTGTGAGCAACCTCGACGTCTTGTCTAGAATATACCCCCATAACAACACTTCTCGTTTTCTGCAAGCGTGTTCACAGGCGTTTGATGTCTCGGTTTTTGAGATCTTCTTCACTTGGAAGGTTGGAGCGTGTCTGTGTTCTGGTACAAACGATACCCTTTTCGATGATTTGGAGCGCGCCGTCCAAACTTTGGAATGCACCCATCTCAGCATGACCCCGACGGTCGCTTCTTTGGTCGACCCTAGCAACGTTCCCAGAGTCGAATTCCTTGTTACTGCCGGAGAGCCCATGACTGCCGTCGTGGCAAAGAAATGGACGGGTTTGCTATACCAGGGTATGCCTCGCACCGCCTCTAAAGCTTTCATTGTGAGCTGACCACTTGTCTAGGGTACGGCCCAGCTGAAACTACGAACATTTGCACCGTCAAAAAAATGAGGCCTGGAGACTTCATCGACCATCTCGGATTCTCATTCGAGAACACCTCAACTTTTGTTCTGGGCTCCGCAATGACCGAACCGGTACCCATTGGCTGTGTCGGTGAGCTCTGCTTTGGAGGAGATCAGGTTGCAGCCGGCTATCTGGGTATGCAGGATCTTACCGAGTCAAAGTTCCTCGACCACCCGCTATTCGGTAGAATCTACCGATCAGGCGACTTGGGGCGGATGCTACCAGATGGTTCCTTGATGGTCCTTGGTCGAATGGACGACCAATTGAAACTACGTGGACAACGGATCGACACTGGGGAAATTAGCAGCATCCTCACAACCTCGACCCTTGCTACCTCAAGCGCAGTAGTCATCATCAGCAACACCAATTCGCCCGCGTCTCACTTGACTGTGTTTTATGTACCTTCTCAATACAACCATGAAGACTGGAGAATTCTTCCTATTGACGAAGGGCTGTTCGAAGTTAACAACACACTTCTCGGCCTTCTTCGGTCACGCTTGCCTATCTACATGGTTCCAAGCTACTTGGTCCCAATCAGTTCCGTACCGTTGACATCTAGTGGCAAGGTCGATAGAGCCCGACTACAGGCATCTTTCCGCGACTTGGGCCGAGAGTACATCGACCGCGCTGCAGGCTCTCTCCAGCAGAAGGAAGACGAAAGCTTCTGGTCAAAAGAGGAACGAACAGTAAGAGCGGCTGTGTCACAGGCGACCAACGTAGCGACGGATAACATCGCTCGATGGCAGCCGTTCGCTGCTCTTGGACTGGACTCGATAGCTGCCATTTCTCTCGCGAGGGCTTTACAAGCTTCTTTCGGTCGTAGAGTGCCGGTCTCAATGATCCTCCGGGCAGGATGCATAGCTCGCTTGGCTCAAGAGATACTTTCTGAACCACCTGCACCATCCTCGAACACAACCTCTAGCGCCTCAATGTTTTTTCCTCAGGAATTTGTTGACGAAGTCAGGCGAGAGTTCCTAGAAGATGGCAAATCCGTGTCTTCGGTTCTGCCGTGCACTCCGCTTCAAGAGGCAATGCTTTCGTCGACGTCAGGATCATCCTACTCAAATCAGATGATTTTCAAATTACACATTCCCGATACAGTTATGAAGGGATACTGGGAGTATATGCATCGACGACATGGCATCCTTCGGACCTGTTTCGTGTCGACAAGAGACTCAAGACGTGCCGTCGCACAAGTTGTGCTTCACGAATCTGTGCCCATGGCGTGGGATCTGATTGAGACCAGCTGCATTGAAGAAGCAGCCAGCCAACACCTGCGAACGTTACCCGGTGCAGTGGATTCGAAGATGCCCCCACTTTCACTTGCTGTTCTCAAAAAAGGAGTAGATTTTTTCCTCTCATTTGCCTGTCATCATGCGCTTTACGATGGCGTGGCAATGGAGGTGCTACTGGCTGAGGTTGAGCAGCTGGCAGCCGGAAAGACTCTCCAAGCTCTCCTGGACTACAAGCCCGTGCTTGCTGAGGTTTTCAAGTCTCCTGACGGCACAGATAGCTTTTGGAGGAGTCATTTCAATTCTTTCGTGCCCACACAGCATGTTCTCTCAGTTGGGGGTTCGCAACTTCCTGGTAAAGCCACGACGATTGTCACGTCAAAGCCGCTGGATATATCACTCAGCCAATTGCAAGCCATATGCAAGGCTTCCGGCGTTTCGATATTGTCCTACTTTCAAACTGCGTGGTCTGTGTTCCTGAGTCTGGTTTATGAAGAGTCAGATATCTGCTTCGGAAATATCATGAGTGGCAGGGCTTTGTCGGTGGACGGCATTGACCGCTTAGTCGCGCCTTGTTTCAATACTCTGCCTGTCAGAGTTGAAGTAGCGCCATTAACGCAAAGCATGACTCTTCTCAAGACGCTTCACAACATAAATCCTCTCCTGTTAGAACATCAGTTCACTCCCTTGCGCTCGATTCAGAATCAAGTTTCGAAGAGCGGCAGACAGCTTTTTGACTCCCTTCTCCTCCTTCAACAGCCTAGGCCAGATCGGGATTCTTCTATCTGGGAACTAGTTGAGGACAACGGAACCATGGATGTAATTTACGAGCCAGCTGGCCCATCAAAGTCTTTGAAAGAAAAGAGAAGATTGCTGACAACAGTGTACAGGTGCCTCTCGTTTGCGAATTAATCCCGTCCCCTGTCGGTGACTTGATCAGTGTCAGACTTCACTCCAATAGGCAAGCTACAAACAGTCAATTATGTTAATAAGACATATGATGGATTAACCTCAAGCGTAGTCCTTTCATGACACCAGAAGCCGCAATCGGACTGCTCGACACCTTTTTGCAAGTCGCCCAACACATAGCGGTACACCCTGCTTCCAGTATACCTACGCGAGAACATTTGGGGCCAGAAACCAGGCAGGCTCTCGAATGTCTCAAAGTTGAAAAGATTTCAGAGGCAGTCGAGCAATCGGACGCAGGAATCACTTTCGCCACAGAGGAATGGAGCACAGTCGAGGACCAGCTCCGATCAATAATCTCTGAGCTCTCAAGGGTTCCAGCCTCGAATATCAGCAAAACCACAACTATCTTCCAGCTGGGCCTTGACAGCATCAATGCAGTGCAAATTGCAGCCATGATGCGCAAGCAAGGATTGGAGTTGTCTGCCTTAGATGTCATCGAATTTCCCACCTGTGCGAGATTGGCAACTCGCCTACGGAACGGCTCCGCGCAGAATACGAGTCATTATGACTTTGCGAAATTTGAGCGAGAAGTCAGAGACTCTTCTTGGGCTGGTGAATTCGACAAGATCCTCCCATGTTCGCCCTTGCAGTCCGCCATGCTGAACGACTTTATCAAGTCAGAGGGCAAAGATTACCTTAACTACATGTCGTTTGCACTCAACAAAGACATATCCCTGGACCGAGTTCAGAATGCGTGGTCCGCTCTATTCAATCATCACGACATTTTGAGAATTGGGTTTCTCCCCACACACCATCGAGATGCCTCTTTTGCAATGGTGCAGAACCCAGCCACAAGCTGCCATCTATCTCTCACAACTCATGATAACGCGTCCGACTACTTCGGTGTCTCAAAGTGGAAACTAGACACTGCGCACAATATTTTGAACTCGATGCAGAAGCCTCCTTGGGCCTTGGCTCTCGAATCAGGCGCTTCAGGCGTTACAATGCATGTGATCATGCACCATGCGCTCTACGATGCATACTCTTTGCAGTTGCTTCTCCGGGATTTATCGTCACATCTTTCAGGAGAGCCCATGTTTCAGCATCCATCCATCGAGAAGGGTCTCTCGCAAATTCTACAGGCTTCCCATGATATCAGTCAAGCAGAAGCTTTCTGGAAGCAGAGGGCGCCTCAAGTCGTGGTCAATCGTTTCCCAACCCTGACGCCACTTACGGAAAGGTCACCGGAGTTGCTCGTTCAAAGTCGTTTCTCCAGTCTGGATTTTTCCCAATTGGCCGATAGCGCGCGGATGGTCGGTGTCTCCATCCAAGCTGTCCTGCAAGCCACTTGGACTCGGATTCTTTCAGCATATCTAGGTGAAGAGGATGTTGTGTTTGGTGTTGTCTTGTCTGGTCGCATGAGCGATGAAACAAAGAACGCCGTTTTCCCCTGTATCGCCACTGTTCCCGTCATTGCACATAACAGATCATTGAACTCTGAACTTGTTCAACAGATGTTTGACTACAATAACCAGCTCCTCAAGCATCAGAATGCTCCTCTTGCACAAGTTCAGAGATGGATGGGATACCCAAACACGAGAGCTTTTGACACTCTTCTTGTGTATCAGCGAATCCCGGTTGATGACACCCCCAACTTCCCGTGGAAGACGGTCAGCGATGAGGGCAACTTGGATTATCCAGTATCGTTTGAGGTCGAGCCGCTCCACGGCGGAAAGGTCCAGCTGCGTCTCTCCTTCAGGACTGATATCCTGCCCAAAGCTCAAGCAGTCCACTTACTTGACCAATTTGACGCCGTGCTGATGCATCTTGTCCAGAATCCAGACAAGAGCGCAGACGACTTGTGGGTCAGCCATCCGTCAATTTTCTCCATTACACCTCCCTTGGAGCCTACAATCCCATCCGAAGAACGGTTTCTCCATAGCTTTGTCGAAACAAAAGCTGGGACTCATTCTGACAAGATCGCCTTGGAATTCGTTACCGGTTTCAATGGCGAAACTCCTATCTCGAGACAGTGGTCGTTTCGAGAGCTCAACGAGAAAGGGAACCAAGTCGCAAATATCCTGTCACCTCACGCAAAGGTTGGAGAAACCATTGCCATTCATTTTGAAAAGTGCCCAGAGGCCTGCTTTGCGATTCTCGGTATCCTCAAATCTGGCTGCGCCTTCCTGGCCTTGGATCCGTCGGCCCCGAAAGCGAGAAAGGAGTTCATTCTCAAAGATTCCGGCGCGCTGGCACTGCTGACCAGTGCAGATATCGACTTCTCGGTGGAGCAACCACTCATTCATATTGACGAGAATGCATTGAATCAACAGTCTAAACAATTCATTTCCCCCAAGGCCCTTAGCGAGCAAGACAATTCTTACTGTCTGTACACATCCGGCACTACTGGAACGCCCAAAGGGTGCGAAATAACGCATGAGAATGCAGTCCAGGCCATGAAGGCTTTCCAGAGGCTATTTGATGGACATTGGGACAAGGCATCTAAATGGATGCAGTTTGCATCATTCCACTTTGATGTGTCTGTTCTGGAGCAATACTGGAGTTGGTCTGTGGGGATGACTCTGGTCGGAGCGCCCAGGGATCTGATCCTTGACGATCTTGCCGGTACAATCCGCCGCCTCAATATTACGCACATCGATTTGACGCCCAGCCTGGCACGTCTCCTTGATCCGGCCGAGGTTCCAAGTCTCTCAAGAGGAGTCTTCATTACCGGCGGAGAGGCTCTCAAGCAGGAAATCCTTGACGTTTGGGGCCCTGTTGGAGTCATCTACAACGCGTACGGTCCGACCGAAGCGACAATTGGAGTCACCATGTATCAACGTGTACCTCAGAATGGTCGGGCTTCCAATATTGGCAAACAGTTCGACAATGTAGGATCGTACGTGCTGCAGCCAGGCAAAGATATCCCAGTTATGAAAGGCGGTGTTGGCGAGCTCTGTATTTCCGGAAAACTCGTTGGCAAGGGCTACTTGAAGCGGCCTGAGTTGACTCAAGAGCGGTTCCCCTTCCTGGAGAGACACGGTGAACGTGTCTACCGTACCGGAGATCTCGTCAGAGTGTTTCATGATGGCTGCTTTGACTTTCTCGGCCGTGCTGACGACCAAGTCAAGCTAAGAGGACAGCGTTTGGAAATAGGAGAGATCAACCATTCCATTCGCACTCGGGTCCGTGAGATTAGCGACGTCGCTACTTTGGTGACCAAGCATGGCAGCCTTGACAAAGATCTTTTGGTCACTTTTTTCAGCTGCAAATCAACAGATGCGTCCAAGGAGGAGCTGCAGGTCCTTAGCGAAGCAAACACTGCCGGGCTTGTCCGTTCTGTCCAAAAAGCCTGCAGAGATACTCTACCAGGATATATGGTGCCTTCATACATCATCCAGGTTCCGCGAATCCCTCTTTCTCCCAACAATAAGGCAGATATCAAACAGCTTAATCAAGTTTTCCGCGCGCTTACCCCCGAGAAGCTGGTCAAGCTGTCGCTATCTCCAACAGCAACTTCTGGGCCAATTAATGATACCCAGCGGCTGGTCCTGTCAACAATGAAAGAATTTTTGGGCGAGAAAACAAGTATATCTCTGTCTAGCAACATTTTTGACCTTGGCGTCGACTCTATCTCAGCTTTGCGAATGTCACGACTATTGCGCCAGAATGGTCTCGCGGGCGCCTCGCCACAGGTCATTCTGCGAAATCCGGGCCTAGGGGATCTGGCCGAAACTCTGCAAGAGATTCAGTCCTCGAATGAGAGCAGCACTGTTCAAGAGGCACGCCAACTGATTCATGCTTTTGGACACAGATACCGATCTTTAGCCGTCCAGGAGCTTGGGTTGATACAAGACGAGGACATCGAGTACGTCGCACCGTGCACGCCTCTTCAAGAGGGAATGCTCTCGCGATTCATGTCAGATCAGGATGAGGGAGCTTACTTCACTGCATTCCGCCTCAAGCTTGCGCCGGCAGTTTCCATTGACAGACTCAAAAACGCTTGCGAGAAAATGGTAGAAGCTCATGCAATCTTACGAACCAGCTTCATCCAGACACCCGCTGGTTTTGCTCAAGTCGCAGTCAAGTCCGCGCAGCTTTCATGGAAAGACCTTCGGGATCGCAGTCCGGCCGAGATTGAGCCACTACTTTCTGTGTCTCTTCCAGACCTCATACATCAGAACAGCAGGAATGTCTCGAATCCTTTGGAGCTGATCGTGACTCAAATTGGCGGGGAGACTGTTCTCGTCGTCCACATCTTCCATGCGTTGTACGACGGCTCAAGCTTCGAATCTATGCTTCGATGGGTCTCTGCCGAGTATTTGAACAAAGAGCACGAGGCACCGCCATCGTTCCTTGACACCCTTGCACACGGACCCTTGGCAAACTACGATTCTAGCCGCCAATTCTGGGTTGACCACCTGAGAGATTGCGCCTTCGATACCCTTCCTAGACTGCGCTCTGGAGATGCTGCTGCTGTTATTACGAAGACAAAAACTTACTCAGCACGTAATCTGGAGACATTGCGCAGGTCCCTTAATGTGACTCTACAGTCAGTTGTGCTTGCCCTATGGACCTCCGTCTTCAAGAAACACTTCCCGGGCAACGCCGGTACTGGAGTAATCGTGTCTGGCCGATCTATCGATATGGACCAAGTCGAGAACACCATTGGACCATTGTTCAACACACTTCTCTTCTACGCCGGTCTCAGGGAAGGTGATACGTGGTTGTCTCTGATCCAGAAATGTCATGAGTTCAACACCTCCGTGCTCCAGTTCCAGCACGTGCCGCTACGCAACATTCAAAAGTGGTGCACCAAATCTAGAGGCCGTCCCATCTTTGAGAACCTCTTTGTTTTCCAAATTGAGGCTCCTCGCTCCACGGAATTGTCTGGCATGTGGTCCATCATGGATGATTACAGCGTGTCTGATTATCCTCTGGCTTTCGAAGCTTCGGCGACCCCGGATGGACAGTTGCGCATCCAAATTGTTGCGCACCGAGATATTGCCGACGAAACGACGCTGAGCTCTTTATTCGAAGAGATTGACGACGCCATGGCCGATGTGATATCGAGGGGCACCCATTCTTTGCCTGTCACCGAAAATCCATCGAGGGAGGCTTCAACAGCAGCATCTCCGCGAACACCGTTAACTTCAAGACCAGAGTCCATCGACGGTGAAATCTCGAAAGATTTCCAGTTAGATTTGACCTTGTCAGACTTTGACTGGAATTCATCAGCTTTGGCTTTGAGAAAGGAGATCGCTGCCCTAGCTGGCGCTTCCGAGGAAAGCATCACAGAAAACATGGCGCTGCTTCAGCTGGGTCTCGACAGTATCGATCTCGTCAAACTCTCTGCCCGACTCAAGCACAACGGTTACGATCTCACCTTATCTCAACTCATGCGATCGCAGACTATTGCTGCCATGTCCAAGATCTTGAACAACAAGAGGGCAACTTCAGCTGAAGCTGATGATCAATCAAGCTTTAATGCGCTTAAGGAGCGGTTGTGGAAGGCTGTGGAGTCCACTCGATTCAATCTTGAAGACGCAGAGGCTGTTTTGCCGCCTACCCCTCTACAGGAGTCTATGATGGCAGACATGCTGCAATCGGACTTTGGCCAGTACTTCAATCACGACATCTTAGAGCTAGCGGATGGACTTGATCTTGAAAGATTCGAAATAGCTTGGAAGCAAACTGTTGAGCGCTCGCCGATCCTGCGAACGGTATTCGTTCCGATTGAAGACCCGAAGTTGGAGCAGACTTTCGCTCAAGTTGTGCTGAAGTCAAATTTGCCGACTTTGGACAAATTTGAAGCGATTGATCAGACTGAACCACAGGATATCATCAAACTTCACAAAATCAATGCTCAGTCTGCTTGTGGGCAAGGCAACTTACTCCAACTTTCTCTCCTATCCACTAGTACAAAGCTGCTGCTCATTCTGTCGATCTCACACGCTCTGTACGACGGCTGGTCATTGGCTTTGCTTCACCAAGACGTGGCTGCCGCCTATCAAAGGCAGTCACTTGAACGTCAGCCTACGGAGCCCTTCCTGCGAAACCTTGTTAAAACGCCAACGGATCAGGCACGAATATTTTGGTCTCACTATCTTGCAAACACCCAACCATCTCTGCTGTCCAACAGGATCCCCGCGGGCGAACCATTCAGAAACATTGCTCACCGGACGGAGGCCGTTTCGAGCGTTAGACACGACCAAGCCATGGCATTCTGCAAACGCCATGCCGTCAGCTTGCAAGTGCTGGGCCAAGCCTGTTGGGCATCGGTAATTGCAACCCTGCTCCAGACTCTTGAGGTCACGTTCGGCGTTGTTCTTGCTGGACGTGATTCCGAACAAACACAAGCTCTCATGTTCCCAACGATGAACACCGTAGCAGTTCGTTGCTTCCTTCACGGCTCAACCACAGGTTTCTTGCGCTACCTTCAGGAGGCGATGGGTGATATCACAGAGTTCCAGAATTACCCTCTGCGGAAAGCCCAGAGTAGTGTTGCGGGTGGGCGCCTCTTCAATACCCTTTTCATCCTCCAGAAAAGTCCCGACTCAGGATCGGACAATCTCATCATGAAGTCGATTCAAGGGTCTTCCGCAACTGAGTTTGCCGTCTGCGCTGAGCTAGAAGTCGCTTCCGAGACACTTGTCTGGCGCATTGCTGGACAGGATGCTTTTGTGTCCGAGAAAATGACGAATCAGCTGATTCATCAGCTTGAGAGAGCTATGAGATTCATCATCGACACACCTGACGACAACCTTCTCTGCTTTGAGGGGGACCATGTTTCGATCTGCCAACTGCCGAAATTCCACCCTAAAACACTGACGAGCTCATCATCGGGACCAACCCCAACAACGAAGGCAGTTAGAGATGATGGCGATTGGACGATAAACGAGAGCACTATACGAAAAGTGCTCTCACGAGCAGCAGATGTAGAAGTCGAGTCGATCAAAAAGGGCCACACCCTGTATCATTTGGGTCTAGACTCTATCAGCGCCATCAAAGTCGCCACGCTTCTGCGGAAGGAGGGTCTCAATCTCGGAGTTCGCACACTGTTGACTTCCGGCTCGATCAAAGAGATGGCGCAGCATGCCCAAGCTACTCCTACCAATTTCGATGCTACACCCGAACTACATTATATCGCCTCTGGATATGAGCTTCCATCCTCGATCAACATATATGTGTTGCTTTCTACTGCTGGCTTGGCCAAGTCTCATGTCGAGGAGATTTTGCCTCCGCTACCGATGCAAGTCTACATGATTTCTGCGTGGCAAAATGCACGTGGCCGAGTATTCTATCCCGACTTCTTTTACCGCCTCAAGGGACCTGTCACCATCAGCCAGCTGCAGTCAGCATGGGATGCCTTGATTGACTCTGAGCCAATGCTCCGAACTTGCTTGGTCGCTACCGGCGATCGATCACTGCCATTCGTTCAGGTCATATTGCAACCTGGCTTTAATGGACCTCACAGACGGGTTCTTGTTGGTGGTCAGATTTCCAAAACGACATCAGAACAGTGCCACCCGCAAGCACAACTCAGTGCGAAGCAGGAAGACGACAAGTCATGGACACTGAAGTTAAGCATTCATCATTCACTTTACGACGGCTTCAGCCTGCCGGCTCTCGTGCAGAAGCTGCGGGCAACAGTTCAGTCGCAAGCTTCTGTAATGTCAGTAAAGATGGATTCATGGAGGCTCTTCCTCGCTTCACATCACGGTGAAGAAGTCAAACAACGCAACAAGGCATTCTGGTCCAAATACTTGGAAGGTGTTCACCAGACGCCGAGCCAGAATCCTGAAGACAGTTCAGACGCCTCAAACCGAGTTTTTCTCCTAAAACGCTCAGTCGTCCCGGCACTCGGACGCGTTCAAAAGTCTTGTTCCCTGGCCGGTGTGGGCCTCCCAGCACTTTTCTTCGCTGCAACAGCCAAAGCACTCCAGAAATGCAGGAGTTGGCAGAAACAGGAGATCGTCTTTGGTATCTATTACGCTAACAGGTCGTCGACCGAGGGATTGGAGACCACGTTCCCCACGCTCAACTTGGTACCGCTCAAGGTTTCTCTTGCAGACGATCTCGACATCCTGAAGACCGCCAAGCAGGTCCAAGATGACTTGCATCTCATTTCCTTGCATGCAACTGTAGGTCTATGGGAGATCAAAGATTGGACTGGACTAGAAATCGATTGCTTCGTCAACTTCCTCCACCTCGGCGAAGAGAGCATCGAGATGGTAGAGGGCAGCGATATTTCGCTCGCGCCGATTTCCAATCCCGGCGAGACTGGAGAGTATTTGAACGCACTCGGTAGTGATAGCAGCAGAGAAGACTATTCGCAGCGCTGGCTGCAGAAGAATGCGGTCCGAGATGTGTTCCCGGTATGTGGCCCCTCAACTAGGGATTGCTTGTGCTTGAGTTTTAACATATCTTAGGACACACTTGATGTCGAGGCTTCAATCAATGAAGGAGCAATGGACATCGGAGTCTTTGGGGCCTCGGCGAAGGTTTCTGAAAGTACTGCCAATAAGTTGATTGATGTACTCGGTGGTATCCTAAAGGCTTTGTGAAGATGAAAGAGACCCAGTCTCGTTCAATTCGTACATACTTTTCAAGTTCAATGGTTGTCTCATATTCCATCCTCGTTGGAAAGTTTGATGTTTTCTTACTACAAGTCTTAGGAATAGGTGGAGCTTGTAATTTGATTATTGCTTGACAAATTAATTATTCAATGATGCGCTGCGCCATCGTTCAATATGTGTTTCTTTTCTATTTGCGAACGTGCCTCACCAGAAAACAATAGATTTCATCTTTGGTGCCACGAAATTTGATCTCACTTCACTTACCACCTGAATACCTTGCACACAGCCTGTCATTAATCAACGCATCACTTCGGCATGGACCGAACCGTTCATGAGAGCGACTGAGCTTGCCCAAGACATGCAGAACCGCTTTCTCGAAAGAGATGGGGTTCACACCACAACGAACCCCCCAAGCCTCTTGGCGATCAGTTGAATGGCACAAAGAGTAAGTCTGAGAGAACAAGGTGAGCTTCTACCAGCAGAAGGCGCCATAAGCCGCCTTAATCCCGTCGAACCACTGAATGGTGCGCTGACATAGGTACCAGGTAGTTGTCCAAATTAGCCGAAAGTTGCCTCACCGCGTAGATATGGGGATGGGAGTTCGGAGTGAAGAAAAATTCCAGCTGCTTCATGGCCATGCAAGGCACGCCGGATATGAAGACCAGATCGATAAGGTCGTCCCATTGCACTAGCGGAGCGATTCCGAATCAGGCAGGTCTGCGGCTAATGCTTACAAGCATCATCTGCCGAGACCGTCACGAGGACTGGGGAGTGAGTTGGCCAATTCAGACCCGTGTCTGAGAATCTGAAGCCGTGGGACTCTGGAGTAAAGCGGTAAGTCCAGAGACTAAGAGGATCAAGCCTGTTGATACTCTGTGTATTCCGTACAAAGACTGTGCTAGAATTACATATGCCTCACCCGACGGGATGATCATTCACCCGCCCGATTCCCATTCCCGTATCCGCCTGCATGCAGCGAGCTTTGGCCATGAGCTCCTCCATCAAGAAAGTGACAAGGACACTGTCAAGCTTCGAGATTACTACCTCCTCTATTTGTACTTATGGTTCGGCGAATGAGCGCACTTGACCCCTCGCAATGAGCAAAGTGTTTTTTTTCTAATATGTCAAACAGTATTTTGTCTGTCCGACCTTCTGCGTTGAGAAGCAGAATCGGCCATAGTTGGCAGCTGAAGTCTTGTCATGACAGCATAATTGTTCGATTGCTGGCAGGTCCCAGGATCAGGTCTCCCCCCCCCACCTTACAGAAATTCCAGTAGGTTGTTATTTTAGTCTTGCGAGTGAGTCGTTGCCCCTCAATCTCACCCGCCGCATGTCGCATCAAAGGCGGTCCCTGAAAAAGGCGGCACTGACTCGACAAAAGCATCAAACTTTCCTGGAGAATATCCGCTACCGGCGCAGATTGAACTGCAGTTTAAGGTATCGATCCCGCTGCGGGCTCGGCGGGACCTTTCCCCAAGATGATTTGCAGAGTTAATTTGTTACGTTATAAAGCTATTGCTCTCAATGCGCTCTCACCACGTTCGAGAAAGAGAGAAAGAGAGAGAGACTTGCGACGAGGCGGGAAGCCCCTCGCGGTGCAACGCTCTGCATGGCACGAGTCGGTTTATGCTTAAGCTTGCCATTTATCTCTAAGTCAGTTCGACCCCCATTTCAGAGCCGCACTGATTGCAAGGCAGGAAAGGAAGCTTACTGTCCACCTCTTATAATAGATGGTTCGTCCATGATCTTGCATCCCTGATGTTCGTTGTTCACTGTGCCATCACACATCTGCGAACGGTGGTGTCTTTGAAGAGCAGAGCCTGGAGTAATTTGATCCGAACAGCTGCTGCCCAGTGCCGAATCCTCCATATCGCCAAAAAACAGCTGCAAGCTAAACCGTCGCCAAGACGCCAACGGCGCAAACGAAGCATTAATGTAACCCTCACGCTGCCCAGTCTCAAGGATGCAAGCAAACGACCTTCCCTCTTCTCTCACGCATAGATTCGATAAACGCGAGATTTGGCATTGGGGATGCGGCCCTGGCGGATCACGCAAGCACATCGACACGCGCTCGCCATGTATCGTGACCCGGTATCGCCAACAAGCTCCCGGATAAAGTTCCGATTGTCGTACGGGATTGTCCATTTGACCAGAGCCAAGCCAGCTAACGATGATGAGCCCCATATCGTTCCTGGTTGTGCTGCTTGATTATAAGTTCGCCTCTGCAGGGCATTCGGTAATATGCAATCCGAAGGGGAAGCTCCTTGGCTGCTTGGAGGGGCAGGTAGGAGACCAGTCCCTTCGTGTTCAACGGCGATCGCCCAGGGCTTCAGCATCGCGGTGTACTTAAATCGATGATGATTCCCTCAGTTTTGCGATTTGAAGGAGCTCGATAGGCACTCTCAAGACCCCAGCCCCTCGTTTCCTCCTCCTCTACACCTCTCATCCTTCTTCCGCCGCCATGTATCGTTCCATGAAGAGCCTGGCCCTCATCGGCCTCCTGGGCCCGACTTCCCAGGTCTTTGCCCATCCGGCCACCAGCCACAACATCGGCCGCCGTGGCATCGATATCGAGGCCTTCCGTCTTCCCCAGCTTGGTTCCTACACCAATGCTACCCAGACGGAGGCCACCCCGCCTGTCGCGCTCCTGAAGCGTGCCAACTACGTCGATACCGCCACCGAGCTCGTGAAGAAGCTTGCGCCTAACTCTGAGTTCCGCGTTGTTGGAGACAACTACGTGGGCACCAACGGCATTGGACACGTCAACTTCAAGCAGACTGCTCACGGTCTTGATATTGACAATGCCGATTTCAACGTCAATGTAAGACAGCACCGATGTCGGTTCGAGTAGTTCTGGTATTGTCAGGCTAACACCCTCGCCCATCTAGATTGGCAAGGATGGAAAGGTCTTCTCTTACGGCAACAACTTCTTCAAGGGTGACCTCCCCGAGGCCAGCCCCTTGACGAAACGGGACTTCAAGGACCCCGTTGCTGCCCTCAACGGTGCCAAGGACGTTTTACAGCTTCCTGTCGAGGCTGCCTCTGCCACCGCCGAGGCCAAGGAAGGTACTGAGGTTTACAATATCAAGGGAACCTCCGGTGCTGTCTCCGACCCCGAGGCCAAGCTCGTCTACTTCATCCAGGCTGACGGCACTCTCTCCCTCTCTTGGCGTGTCGAGATCGACATCTCCGAGAACTGGCTGCTGACATATGTTGACGCCGCGACCGGCACCAACGTCCAAGGTGTCGTCGACTACGTCTCCGATCTGGCCAACTACCGCGTCTACCCCTGGGGTATCAACGATCCCACAGAGGGCGACCGCGTCTTGGTCACCGACCCCTGGGATCTCTCTGCCTCGCCTTTGACCTGGCAGAGTGACGGCACTGGCAACTACACTACCACCCGCGGCAACAACGGCATCGCTCAGTCCAACCCCAACGGCGGGACTGCCTACCTCAACAACTACCGCCCGACCAGTTCCTCGTACAACTTCGATTACGAGTACACCACCAGTCTGAGCACCCCGTCCGCCTACATCGACGCCTCTGTCGCCCAGCTCTACTATACTGCCAATCACTACCACGACCTGTTGTACACTCTCGGCTTCACCGAGGCTGCTGGAAACTTCCAGATCAACAACCAAGGCAAGGGTGGTGCTGGCAACGATTTTGTTGTCCTATTTGCCCAGGACGGCTCCGGAACTAACAATGCCAACTTCCTCACCCCTCCCGATGGCACCAACGGTCGCATGCGCATGTACCTCTGGACCCAATCGACTCCTCGCCGCGACTGCAGTTTCGAGGCCGGCGTCGTTATCCACGAGTACACCCACGGTCTGTCTAACCGCTTGACCGGTGGTCCCGCCAACTCCAACTGCTTGAACGCCGTCGAGTCCGGTGGTATGGGCGAGGGCTGGGGTGACTTCTTCGCCACGGCCATCCGTCTCAAGCCCAATGACACCCGTGCTACCGACTACGCCATGGGTGCCTGGGTCTACAACAATCCTGCCGGTATCCGTACCGTCCTCTTCTCTACCTCATTGACCACGACTCCCAACACCTACTCCACCATCAACGGCATCACCAGCGTCCACCGCATCGGTGAGACCTGGGCCACCACTCTGTACGAGGTCCTCTGGAACCTCATCGACAAGCACGGTAAGAACGACGGTCCCCGCCCCGCGTTCGATGCCAACGGCGTTCCCACCGACGGCAAGTACCTGACCCTGAAGCTGGTTCTTGACGGTATGGCCCTGTACGTATTTCCCTCATTGCTGCTTCCCCTGCGTATTCAACACAAACTAACAAGAGTAGCCAACCATGCTCTCCCAACTTTATTCAGGCTCGTGACGCCATCCTCGATGCCGACACTGCTCTCACCGGCGGAGACAATCAGTGCGAGCTCTGGACCGCTTTTGCCAAGCGTGGCCTGGGCTCCAATGCTGTATATAGCTCTTCTGCCCGCCGTGATGGCTTCACTATCCCTGCTGGCGTTTGCTAGAGGGAGAAACATTTTCAAATTTGATAGCGTATATACCAGAAATATTGTAATGTGTAACGAGACTATACCAAAGAAACTGCAAAGAAATACGCGGCGTGAAAGTGATCTCTCTGGAATGGAAACAAATCCAATCTTTCCTCTGCTGTCTCCCTTACCGTCTCTTCTGTCTTCTCTTGTATATCCTCTTTCGAACTATCTTCATTGAACTCCTCGGCTATATCCATCTTGTCCGTCCGGGGGTCGTTTACTCCGCCTTCCACAAATACACTGTCATCAACGCCCATTGCGTATCGAAATTCCCGGGTATTGTAGATGGCTCCGTCATCAAAGACTTTACTGGCCAAAATCATACCACATTCATTGAACGTTTGGAGCTTCCCACAATAGCTGATGATGATGAGATTTCATTCCTTGCGTTGACCGAGTTTGTTGGCAGTGAAGTCAGGACAGCTCCAAAACAACTGGTTTTGATCTTAGGACTGGCAAT